GGCGGCGCCTCGCGCGGACTGCAGATGCCGAGCGAGGGCGGGGGCGCGGGCGCGGGGCAGGGGGCCACGCGGGGCGCGCAGCCGCCGCGTGCTTTGCGGCACCGGGGGCCGGGGCCGGACCGGCGCGCCTGCAGCCCTTCCCACGTGCCCGGGACACGCAGCTGCCGAGGAAGGGCCGGCCGCTGCCGCATAGGGCGCCTCTGCAAGGGGCCCCTCTCGCCTCCTGGACGGGCGGGTCTCGCCAGCTTGCCCGCACCTGCGGCGGGGCGCTCCTTCCGCCACGCACAGCCACGTCCCCCTTCACCCGGTGGAAGCGACCCGCTGCTCCTGCCGCCTTTGTTAAGCCATGCCGCTGCTCAGAGGGAGGGTGCCCGCCGGCTTCCAAAGACCCCGGGCCACCACCCCCGCGTTCCCCGAGGACTTGGGAGAAGCACTGCTAGCCCGGGAGCACCTGGCCTGCCCCGTTGCTGAAAGGGGGGCGCCAGGCTGAGCCCAGCAGGCACCGGACCAGGCGCTCTCACCGAATGCAGCAAGGCCCCCCCACCCTGCGCCTGCTGCTGCCTGCAGCTCGTCCCATTGTCGTGGGCAGCTCGGACTGTTTTTCCATGACCATCATGACACCTTTGTAACCCGGGAAAGACTTGCAGTGAAGTCCTGCACGATTCCTCACCTGTACTTAGCCAGACTATTTTTCAGCATGCACAAGACAGACAGGACCAGAAAACAATTTCCTCCAAACCTCACAAGCAGAAGGCAGGCCTTATTTTGCTGCTTTCATAGCTTCCTCCCCACTGGGGATTTCTCTAGGGTGCGACAGAATAGCCAGGAGTGGATGTTCAGCAGAGCCTCCCCCCATGTTGATAATGCAAGCCTTGCTGCTCCTGGGAGCTTGCTGCAAATGGAAGGACTGCTTACCTCACTCCAACTAGCTAGGATTACTTCCACTTAGGGTCACTCACACATGTTGGAAATGGCAGCCATGGCAGAGGTGTCTCACCAGTGAGGCAGCAGCCCAGACAGCTGGAAGGTCTTTCTGCATCAGGCATCTTTGCTACCCAAAACTTTACAAAGTGGGACCAGTGCCTAAAGGCTGCATTTAGGTTTCTGGGCTGAAAAGATAAAATTCCTTCTTGTCCAGCAAACTGGAACATTATGCTATTGCAAGCACAGTGGACTGTAGACATTCTCTCTCCAGCTTTTCATTCCTGATGGCTCAGAAAATAAACTCAATACTATGTTTCCAAACAAGGATGGCAAAGCAAGACATCATGCCTGCCCATCCCTCTGTGAACTGCCTACTGCCCTCCGATCCTTGGAATGGCAGAAATGGATATTGATAAAATACCTGCATTTTAGTACAGGGAGGGAAGACAGTAGGTGGCAATGCTGAGAATGTGGAAGCGATACTGAAAACTCAGAGCTCAAGTCACCAGCACATTCTGAAAGATTACTAAGGATGCCTTCTTGGGAAGCGCCACCATGCAGAGGGCCGTGCTTTGGCCAAGGGGTGGCATTTTGGCGTTTTCCCCAGGCAGCAATGCTACCTGCTGGAAGGATGTGTTCCACAACTTTCTGCTGCAGCTTATTTGTCCCAAGGGCTTCCAGTTTGGAGAAGAGTGAAATCTGCGTGTAATTTTCCAGACAACTGTTACTTTTGCGTTGCAATTTAATGGTGCACAAAAGGAAACTCTTGGTAAGGCCTGCTGTCCATTAACAGCTGAGCCCCGTCATCAACACCCATCACATCTTGCACTGCTTCCAACAAGGGCTGAAGGCTGGTGGAAAAGGTGTGGAAGTCGCCTATAGTGCCGCTCGCAGTTACATCAGGCACTGGTTCTGGGCCATAGTTTGCAATGACGAGGTCATGCTAAAAGCAGTTCCAGGTAGTGTAGAATCCCAAAAGTCCTTTTAAGTTCAGTTAATTCCCAAGGACTTTACATGGTAGCCAGCAAGGCTTTTGTTCATATATTTTAAGGGAAGAAACCACTAACTTGGATGGTGACACTGATCTGCTGAATCCAGAAAGGTCTCTGCTATGTCCACTAGCAGCTAGGGGATTGCTGCAGTACTATTTGGTCAAAGCCAGTTGAAAACTTTGGCTACACAAGCTGTTCTCTCAGACACAGGCTCATCTTACAAAGCGGCTCAAGATTTAAGAAGGGTATCCAAACAAGGACCCCTCAGTGCTGGCCTTACCTCAAATACCTGACTACATAAAGCTCCAATAAGGCTATTCGCTTCAGGTTCTACAAAGACTTCCAAAGTCTAATTTGAGCAAGCTGTCGGTGAAGGGTAATTGAGAGTTGAACAGTTTTCACTGAATACAATTTAGAATTAGGAATATATGCACTATTTTAAGTTATATTCTAAATAATTTGTATTCGCCAGTGTGTGATGGAGGTATAAGGTGTAGAGGCATTCACCAAGAAGAACGGCTTCTGCAAGGAAGTCTCTAGTGCTGTAGTGTGTCGAAGCACCGGCGCTTAAGAGGGAATCATTCCACCTGCTCACTGTTTCCTGCTGACATGGGATCCTGGGCTAGCTGAACGACACTGCCTGTAAGACAGCCTAGACTTTAATATTGCCTGGATTTTCTACAGTCTCAAGCTGGCACAAAAGCACTTTTATGGACAGGGCTGGTTGTCAAGAAATACTTCCACTGATTATTAGGAGACAGACACTTTCTTTCATGTGTTTATGGAAACAACCAAATAAACACATTTGGGTTGGTGAAGGAGTGGAAGTTTCAGGCTCTTTGTTAGCCTTTATGTCACCATCATCTGGTTTTGCTTTGGTTTGCACATTATTAGTAGAGACTACCACAGTTCCATCTCAGTGTCATAATTTAATATCTTAAGACACCATTAGGACTCGAAAGCAGAAAGGCTTTCAGACATTGTATCCAATCAGGCCACCTTTGCCTATGATCTCACCAATGTAAAACCACATCAGCACCTCAGTAGCCACCAAACCATTCCTCAGAGCTTCCTGAAAGAAAAAGGGAGAAAAAGCATTTTACAACTTTTGCCACTGTAGCAAGTTATTTCCCTGATCATTCCTGGAAGCCACAAGCAATGTCCGAGAAACCTTGTTATGTTCTGTGATAGTACTTTACACAAATATTGCAATGATATGCTCAAGGTGCTACAAAACATTTGCCCCCATAATTTCTCCACACGACTGACAAAGAAACAGAACGTTTCACCTTGTGACCCACAAATCTTTACAAGAAGCAACAAGAAGTGCACTGAGGGTCACCCTAATACAATTAGTATTGCAAAAATGGCACTCATGCTTCCTGCAACGCTGCTGGCAAGTGAATTTTTGACCCATTTGGCACTCCATAGCGGCTGTGGGTGCCTTTTTGTTTTTATTCACTCCTCCACTATTTTTGGCATTTGCAGAACGCGAGGCCTGCAAAGGGGGCAAAACTGAATCCCAGACCCTCCAAGTCTGCCTAACTCTGATCTATGTGAAGCTTTGCTAACACAACCTGTGATGCTTTTAAAGGGGGGGAGTTATTGCCATGACAATGTGCAACACACCTTTGGAACAACTTCTTATTCATCTGGATAGTTGCTTGGTGGGTGTGGGGGGGCAGATGGAACATCAGTGGAAGCACATTCCTTGTGGAAGTGACCACTGCAAGGACTACAGCTAAACCTGGCAGACAGCTAATCCCCCTTGATGCAGCTAATGGCTCAGTCTGCATTTTCTCAGGAATAAAGGTATAGGTGCAGGTAAAGGTTTCCCCTTGATGTGAAGTCCAGTCATGCCTGACTCCAGGGGGCGGTGCTCATCTCCGTTTCTTAGCTGATGGAGCCAGTGTTTGTCTGCAGACGGTCTCCGTGGACATGTGGCCAGCATGACTAAACACCGAAGTGCACGGAATGCTGTCACCTTCCCACCGAAGTGGCACCTTTTTCTCTACTTGCATTTGCATGCTTTCGAACTGCAAGGTTGGCAGGAGCTGGGATAAAGCAACAGAAACTCACCCCGTTGTGCAGATTCAAACTGGCGACCTTTCAATCTACCAGCCCAGCAGCCCAGTTTAAACCACTGCACCACCTGCATTCCTTTCTCAGGAATATCAGTATTCAGATAGTGTAAATCTTCCCAATTAAGCTATCTGCTTTTAATCTGGTATTCAGACTTATGATGTTGTTGGAAGGTCTTTTGGTTGATAGTGTTTGTTGAACTCATTTTTATGCATGACCAGATGTAGATTTTCACAGATACATAGCATATGAGGTGATGTTTCCAGCTTACAGTTACCTTGACTGTGAGTTGCGCCAGGCGGCCACTCTGGAAGCCCTTCACCAGGGATTTCATGCCATCAATGGCCTTAGGGATTTCAGCAGGAGTTGGGGGAACTAGCTCAACCCTGGCATAGTACCAGAAAGTGGCCAGCCGAGGCTTTGAATAAGTGACAGCATCTAGAAGAGAGAAAAGCGAGATGTGATACAGGGCAGAAGCAGTAGATGCATGAGGCAGACAAAAGGTATTTTGCATCATGGTGATTCGAGGCCCCACTGGCAACACTACCACATTTCCCTGTATGTGTGTGAGAGGGCTGCTCTCCATTTAGGAACTAACCAACATACATGACTATTTAGATTCCATGGTCAATCCTACTGTGAACCCTTTAATTAACCAATGTTTGACAGATATTTCAAAGCCTCACCACTCTAAGCATTTAAACATCATGACAAGAAAACAGCTATTGTTTTTCCATGCTTCTACAGATCTATTTAGACTCCAACATTCAATGGCAAAACCCACCTGAGTGCACAGGAACACCCACCGATGATCACTCAAAAATCTCACTATACAGGTAAAAGGAATAGCAACAACTATATGAGAAAGGGTCAGAAAGTGGATGTGCTGGTTATAAAAAATAGGGGAAGGTTCACCCCTGTGACAGTGCTGTGGCACTGAAGGGAGCCTCTAAGTAAGAGCCAAGGCAGTCCAGGGTTAGCATTTGCCACATGTTTGCTTTGAGGAAACCACTAAACAGATCAGTGGCACAGCTCAAGCACCCATTTGGCACACTGACCAGCCAGCTGACCACCTCGGGCTGAGGAATTGCCTGTGCTTTTCCACTGACTGCCTCATACAGCAAATGCTCCACTGAAGTCACCAACCAAAAGGGAGTTTCAGTATATTAATTGCAAGCCTTGAGGACCACTGAATACGCCTTACAAGCTCCCATGCCGTCGCTAGGCAGGGGACAGCGGAGAGGCAGCCGCCCTATCTACTTAGTTTCCTCCTCTTCCTTCCGGGCAGCCCTTGCCTGATGTCATAATGATTCATCTCTAGGGCCCACTTGCTCCAGAGTAGCCCTCTGCATGCATTTGAAGGGAGCGCGTTCCTCTCCTGGGTGGGCCTTGTGCCGCGGTCCCTAAGCGTCCCGGCGCTCTCAATTGTCAGCGGCGGGGAGGCTGCAGCAGAACCGCGGGGCACGGAAGCGAAGCGCAGGCATTTTGCACGGAGCAAGGGCGGGCCCGCAGCGACCTGCAAGCGGCCGGTGCTCGGCGGCAGGCTCGCCAAGGCCCGCCTTCCTCGCACGTCCGCTTGCGGCCCCGCTTCCCCACCACTCCTCCGCCCACAGTCCCGGGCCGCCTGCTCCAGGGGCACGGGGCGGCCGCGGCGGAGCGGCGCGCCGAGCGGGCCTCGGCCAACCGCCCATCGCGGCACGGGAAGCCGGCCGGGCACCGGGCCTCGTTTGGCGCTCACCGAGGACGAGCTGCGGCCCCTTGGTGGTGACGGTCTTGAGCAGCTTCTGCGCGGCCTGCGCCATGCCGAGGCAGCGACGGCGGGGAGGCGACAACCGGCGAGCGCCCGGAGACGCTCGGCGAAGGCCCCTGAAGGTCACGGACGCGCCGCGAGGACCCCGCGCGCAGAGCTGCCCCGCCTCTGCCGGCGTCCTCCTCCGCCCGCTCAGCGCAAGGGCGGCCCCGGCGCCGCCTGCGTGGCGTGCGAGGCAGGCGTTTGCCGAAGACGCCCGCCCGCTCCAGGCGCTCTCCCGGGCAGGGCCAGGGAGCGCGCAGCGGGACGGGAGGCGCTTGCGCGACAGCGCAGGCCCCGCCCGGTCCTGGCGAGCCCTTGGAGCGGCGCCCGCTCGTGCTCGCCGTTGTGCGGTAGGCCGCCCGCCCGCCCGCCCGGCCGTCCACCGAAGCCCGCAGGCGGGACCGGGGACGCGCTTGGCCGATTCGCGGGACGCAGTGGCGCTGGGGCAAATGGGTTCGCCTTGTGGCAGCCCAGGACCCACGGCGGGAGGGGCCATCCCCGAAGCGGCCCCCGCTTTCGGGCCGAATCCCGCTGCGGGGCACTGTGAGGCCCTCGGGCCCCGCGGACTGTCCAGGGTCCACGCTGCCATGGGGCGCAGCAGGAGGCCGCGCAGCTCTGCGGAGAGCGGCCTCCCCCCGCCCGCGCCAGGTGACTGCCATGCTGCGCAAGTGGCGCCTTCTAGGCCAGGTAGCCCAGGCCATGGCCTGTCCTGGACTGGGGGATGGCGGGACCATCAGCAGCCAACCCCTCCCCAGTGCCCCCTGGCAAGGACCCCCCTTGCAATTTTGGGCAATGAATTGAGAAACTGGCCTTCAACACCGTATTTACTTCCAAGACCATGAAGGGAGACCTTGGCCCACTCTTCAAGTGTGCCCAGAAAAAGCAAGCTGCGGGGGGAAGAGATGGGCCCAAGTGACAGAGGTGTGCAATTGGCTCTGGTGTGTCCTTTGGGGCGAAAAGTGGAGGAGGAGGTTTCACTTGCACACTTTTCTGAGCCTCATTAGTTTGCCAAGCAACCTTTTTATCAATAGGCAGCCTCTCCTGTACCATAGCACCTGGCTCAGCTGTGGGTTTTGAAGCACAGCTACCACCTGTGCCTTTTACTAGGATGCAGGACAAGTCAATATTCTTTTAGCTGTTCCACTTCACCTTCTCAGGAAAGACTGACCACAGCTATCATTCATAAATGCATAAGCCTGTCCAGCAACCATTTTGTGAGTGTGTCAAACAAGATGAGAAGGGAACTGGTCATGGTGATAAGAATCGAGAGCAGGACTACTACTACCTCACTTGCCCATAAATGCTTGGCTGATAAGGCGGCTGCATCTAAATATTCATGAAAAGGCAGAAATGGGAAATGACATTCAATGGAAGCAAGGGTAAAGTGGTGGGCACAGGGACAAGAGAGCCACCCAACCCCTCTGTCTCTTGAGTGTGTTTTTACACTTTCAGTAAAGCTGAGAGCTCAACATGGAACCTTGAACAGGTAGAGGTACACCAGTGTATCAGCTACTGTGGCAGAGTGAAGGGAGGGCTAGCGCTGGCCGATCAGCAGACACCAGGAGCAGTGAAACATGGGCAACGGACACATTTATTGATCTACAGTAAATGCTATACTATATACACACTGCATACATACATGCGGCAGGCAAAGTGTGGGCAGGACTGAGAGGGCACCTGCATGAACAGGTATGCAGTGCTTGCCCAGGGTGTGGCCACTACTAGCAAGAACAAAGGCCCTGGAGACCGTAAGCTCAGGCTCTGGCGGGGAGAGCAATGGAAATACTATGGCACGACTCTGCCCAGCCTCTTTGCCACGGCGTCTTCCACCCAAAGACGGCTCTGCCTCTGAGGAGCATTTGACTTACAGGTCAGGATGGATTTGCATAAAGCAAGCCCTGCCCACAGAGGATGACACTGCTTCTGCTTTCACCTTAAACAGAAAAGAAGCTTCTGCCACAAAAGCTGCTGCAACAATAGAATGGAAACCAGTCTGGAAAGAGCTTTCAGGCCGGCAGCTGCTGTAAGCCCAGGGCAGCAGGCAAATCCAAGTGGCAAGGGGGCAGCAGGACCAAGTCCCGAGGGCAAGAAGAGAGGCAGGAGCTAGAGATGCGCTCCTGCCCTGGCCCAATTTCCCCACTGGTGCCTAATGAGGGCCGGGCCGCCTGCTCCAGCGCCCTGGGGGCAGCGGAGGCCCAGCAGCATCAGCCACACCCGGTCAGGGCATCCCCCCAGGCTGCGCCTTCTTCTTCCTCTCTGCCAGCCACTGCTGAATCCGCTCCTTCAGTTCCATATTTGGTCTGATCTGGTCCATGGTGAGTGGGCTGCGATTGAAAGGGTCAGTCTGGTCACTGCAAGGAAGAAGTGGGAAGAGGGTCAAGGGGAAAGCCGGCTGGAGGCTTCAATGGGAGCAGGAGGGAATGCTCCCAATCACTGCAGAGAGGCTGGTTCCCTAGCCATTTGGGCTGGCAAGTGCCCAGCGGCTGGCAATGCGTAGCCCTCCAGAAGTTTTGGCCTGTGTCACCTCTTTCCCCCACCCACTGGCCACGCTAAGCCAGGGCCAAAACTCCCGGAAGGCTGAGGGCTACTTACCTAGGTATACAAAGAGAAAAAGGATCTGGAATCATCTGGCAGAAAGGAGGCTTGCTTTTTATCCAATCACAGCTGTAGAAGCCTAATTAGTTGCTCTGGCAACGTACCTCCTTCCTGCCCCACCAGCAGCCTGTGCAGCCCCTGGCAGCAACCAGGAGCAGCTCATGTCAGTGAACGCATATGGAGCTGACTGCAGCAGGCAAAGGGGCAGCTCTGTGTGGGCACATCAAGCAACTGGGGAAGAGGGTGTGTGTGTGAGAGAGGGAGAGGGAAGTGTGAGAACGTGGGTCAAAAAGTTCTCCCCTCAACAAGGAAGGTGTCAGATGCCCAACCTCAAATCCCTCCCCTCTCCATCTTTCGGAATACCTCAAGAGGTGCCTGGCAATGGTTGACCTGTCCACAGTAACCCTGGAGGAAGGCAGCAGCACGGGGTCCATCATTAAGGTACTCATAATGGGATCCAGGAACTCATCACAGGCATCAGCGTAGGTCTCCTCTTCCTGCTGCTGGCGGTCTGCAAGGGACTATATAAGAACATAAGGAAAGCCCTGCTAGGTCAGGCCGAAGGTCCATCTTGTTCAGCACTCCGTACACGATGGCAAACCGGCTGTCCAGCCCAGGCGGGTCCTGCTGCACCTGTCAGGACTCCTGTTCCCGTTCCTGCTGTCCTTCTCATGCTTAATTCTGCTCGCTGGCCTCTTTGGCTCTCAGCTGCCCTGCGGGCCTTAATGAGTGTACTGAGCTCAAAGCTCCTCCAAATCGTACTAGGCAGGCAGTCTCATCACTGACCAGAAGGACACAGACATCTCTCCTTGAAATACTAACAGCAGCAGAAGGAACCCAAACAGGCTGGCCGCCCACAGAGCTGAGTGCTGACCCTGAAGGCAGTGGCAGGCGCAGAACCCCACCTCACCTTGATCCGCTCTGCCAGAGTGGTGAATGCCACAATCATGTCACCAGGCTTGTTAATCTTCTTCAGGACTCGGACTGTCTGAGCAAACAGAGTTGGAGAATACGATCGCCCATCCTTAGGCACTGTAGCACAGAAGTTCTCCTCATCCCTGCAACAGAGGAGAGGGCTGAAGGAGATCTCTGGCCCATTCACACACTCGGGTTTCTCCTCCTCCAACGGTGAGCGAGCGAGGTCTTCTGCCCAGGCTGGCCAGCCAGCCTGCTCTCCAGGGCCTCCTTCGGAGCAGAGCAGTCAGCTGTGCCTTTGTCCCTTTTCTTTCTCTCACACCTGCACTAGCACACCTCGCCTGGGAGAACCCCCTTCTTCCTAGCTCAGCTGTGGCTCCTTTGCCCTCGAGCCACCTGCAAACACTGCAGCTGCTTCAGCTTTGGAGTGTTCTCCCGGTTATTTTCAGCCCAACGGATGGGAGCTGCTGCCACCCCATCACGCCACAGTCATGCCGATTCAGCCTTGCCTCTGGGAGGGGCAAGCGGAGCAGCTGGGCCCCAACAGGCTTGCCTGCCTCGGAGCCTGAGCAGCCCACCTGGGTTTGACCCACATGACATACCCCAGGTTCAGGTAGATGGTGCAGATGTCGGACACAAGTTGCTGGGGCTTGAAGTCGAATTCGCTGAAGTCTTTGACCTTTAAGGCACCCATTTTGGGGCCCACCAGGTGCTGCAGGAAATAGTTCAGCATGGAGATGATGCGCTCGGCCAGAAAAGGGTGCACAAAGAGGGACTTGATCTCTGCAAGGGAAGCAGGTCTCAGTAAAGCCCTTGCACAGCCCGGCTCCCTGCCTCCCGCCCGGCTCGACGGAACACTGCCTTTACCTGAGGTCAGGAAGGCCAGGGTCCCAATGGTCTCATTGGACATGATGTTGTGGAAGCGAGCCAGCTGCCCAAACATCTGCAAGCTGGCCTCTTTCTCACGCCGTGCCTCGGCGGACAGGTTGTCCCACTCGCCCCGGTCCTTCTCGATCTGCTGTACCTTGATCTTACTTAGGTACTGCAGAAAACGGGGGAAAGAGGGAAGGGAGGGGGGGTGAGGGCACCTGTGCTGGCAATGTGCACAGTGGTCCTCCAGCTCAGCTGCAACAGTTCAGCCCTCCCTGTTGGGGCAGGGAAGTCACTGTGATGGGGGAGCATTTGTCCAAGGATGAAGTGCCCCAGGGCAGTCCCGGCCAGCTGCCCCTCCCTCACCTGGGACTGGTAGGCACAGCCTCTCAGCTCATCCAGTGGACACCAGGAGATTGCAAGGACAAGAGCGCAGAGGGAACGAATGAGACACCCAGTGAGTGGAGGAGAGCGTTCCCACAGACCGGGGGGGGGGGGGGCTAAATCCCAGAAACATAACAGATAAAACCACGTAAATTGGCTGGCTAGCACAGCCGCTCTCCCAGAAGCTTTCTTCCATTTCCTGAGCTACCCTACAACGATCTGTTCACTCACATAAAACAGTCCCAGAAACTTTCAGGAAAAAAAGACAGATTGTCTCGTGTTGCCCTAATCAGCCCCACCCCCACTCTTCCATCCCATTTGCTGCCCTGCCCTCGGGAATGAACACAGGAATTCCTCAGCAGCCACTCTAACAAACAGGACTCGATTCACGGCTGCGGTTGGGGCTGCGCTTTCCTCCTCAGCTGCCTCCATGCTCCCCCAGAAATGCTTTACCTGTATTGCCTCATCCAACAAGAAAACAGCATCATTCATGAGCAGGTTGAGAAAGCGCAAGAAGAGCGGGGGACTTGTGGCTTCCAGGTTCTCTGAAGCATAGACAGCCAGGGCCTGCAAGTTGGAGAAGATGAGGGGGAGCGCGGTTTACACCCCAAACTCCATCTCTGCCCTGGCCCAGGGGGCTTGTGTCCCTCTCAAGCCTTACCTTGATGCTTTCCCGGTAAGAATCAGTACCCCACATATACCTGAGGATGGGGTACATGGGCCTGCGGTAGTTGAACTTCTGCTCAAACTGATGTGGATCCCCTAAGCAGTGGAAAGAAGGCAGGCTTAAGTCCAGACCAGATGAACCAGACAACCAAGAAAGGAGGGAAAAGGCTCCCTCTGGCCTGCCTCTGAAGCCTCCCCTCTGTGCCCAGGGAATGGAAGCAAAGCACTGGCCCTTCTCACCCACTCTCTGCATTTTCTGCAGGTAAGCTCAGGAACCTGAGACAGGATGCAGGCACAGATGACGCCCCTGCCCCGGCAAGCACTGCTGCCACGGACACCAAGCTCTCTGCTGCACAGCCACGGAAATGGGAGGCTGCCCAGAGCAGCAGAAATGCTGCAGAAAGGTGGCGCCATCTGCTGCTTGCACAAGAGCCCGGGAGTGCACCCTAGCAAAGAACTGAGCTGGAGTGAGGCCTTACCCGTGAACTCAATGTCCACAAAGACCTTGATCAGAGCCTCTGCCAAGTAGGCAGCGTGCTGGTAGGAGCAGAAGACGCGCTTGCGATGGAAGACACTCGAGACAAGGGGGTTCTGCACTGGGTCCAGGTGGGGCATGACGGCCTCCAGCACTTCAGCCAGCTTGGCTCTCAGGTGTGGATTCTTCATCCTGCAATGAGGCTCAATGGTTTGGGGGATCGTCGAGGATGCCCCTTCTCCTTGCCTTCGCATTTAGACAACCACGGGCCATAGAGGTGCCCCTGCAAACTGCTTGGAGACGGCTCCTGGGGAAGAATGTGGGCACTGCTGGAAGCCCTGGGCACATGCCACGGCCAGCGCATGCCTCTGGCTGTCTCCCTGGCTCACACTGGCGTCCTCAAGCTGCCTCTCGAGTGCAGAAAGGTGAAAAGCTGCCCTTTCCCCTCCCAGCAGCTGCGTGCCCACAGTAAGCTGGCTGAAGCCTCCTTTGGGCAATGCTCCTGTGGCCACGGTGCCCAGGGAAGAATGCTTCCGACAATCTGCTCGAGGACACAGAGGGAGGCCATCAGAGCAGCGGTGCAGCCTGGCCTTCAAGCTCAGCCCCGGCCCACGATGGCTGAACAGCCCAGGGCCTGGCCTTCCTGCCTGCCTGCCTTAATGTCTACGAGAATCCATTCCATTCCCAGGGGACTGGCCAGAGTGCTTGCTGGGACCCCTGGTGGGCCAAGCGTCTGGAGAGGCCGTTACCTGTCAACATCCCCAGTGAAGATAGTCACAAAATGGAGAATGTGCTCCAGGGAATTGGCAGACGTCTCCAGGAGGTCGTCGGCAAAGCGACGCAGGAAGATGAAGAAGTCACCCAAGTTATCAGCAAAGAATTCTGTGGACAGAAAGCCCCGTATGAGTCGCTTACTCCTCGAGCACTGGGTCCAAGCACCAGACACACCTCCCCTTCCCCGTGGCTGCAGCCATTTCTTCCTGGGTCGGGAGGAGGAAATGCTCACAACCTGGCCAGTGCCCGCAGTCTTGTAATCCAATGAGCTCGAGAGAGAAAACCCAGCACCGCTTGGAGGGAAGGCTCTTCCCCGGGGCTGGAGGCAGCACCAGTCACCTGGGACATAAGCCAGCATGCTGTTCTCCACCTCTGGCAAGGGGAACACCAAGTCAGCCAGCTCGGTCCCGTTGTTTCCAATGGCCAGCTGGGCCAGGAGAACCGCCATGGACACCTGCAGGTGGAGACAGTTCTGCAGCATCTGTGGCTCCGTCATGGCCGCTTTAGTGGAGAGATAGATGGTCATCAGGCGCTCAAACTGCTCCCGAAGGTTGTCCGCTGTAGGGCTGGAGCTCTGCTGAGCCTCTCGCCAGGCCACCTGGAGGCGGTGGAGGCTTTGGTTGAGCTTGATCATCTGGTCGTGCAACCTGTGCACAAAGAGACACGTGAAGCACAGGGGTCCGTATAATAGCATGTAGAGGAGGGGAGCCCAGAATTCACCAGTACATACATGCTGGGGACCTTGGGTCTCCCAGGTCCACATCCAGTCCTCTCCAAATGAGACAGGCACATGCATGTGCCCCCAGAGCCCTGCTGCAGTCTCATCTGGAGGGCTACTTTGAAGAGGCCCACTGAGGGAGCCTTTGGACTGCTGTTCGGGCTGGGCTTGCTCCCCCAGGTTCTCCGATGCAGCGGGTCATTCGCTTTCCCCAGCAATGCCTGCCCAAGCAAACCAGGAGAGCCCCACTGCCAGGACAGCCTGTGCAGGCCGCTTGGCTCATCTCAGCTTATGGAGGCTGCACACGGCTCTGCCAGTTCAGTCTCGTAGAGGCCGAGAGAGCTAAGCTGTCGTTTCTGCAGAAAAGGTATTATTTTCCATTCCTGCAAGCAGATGGAATTCCTCACGTCAATACCTGTGAAATCCTAAATGAAGGCTGTACTGTGTCAGCACCAGGTTCTCTGTCACCAGGTTGTAGCTGGGAGCAAATTCTGGCTCCTGCTCAGTCAGAGCTGGGATCAAGCAGGTTTCTTTGTCCAAACCTTAGAGAAAGTTGAAGGGAAAGCTTCCGCACCAATCCAATCGGGTCATGCCTCCCAGCTGGATGCCAGCTCCTGCACAGCCTGGGCTCGCTGCCGCCTCCTTCCCAAGCTGCCCGGCCAGCACATGCATCTGGCGGGAGCCCTTAAGGCTCACCTTTCAGGTGCACATTCCTGCTCTTCCGCTCTTCCTCATTCAGCTCCCTCACAGCACAGTAGGTGGGATCAAATGTGAGAAGTCGAGGTGATCGGGGCTTGCAGAAGGGCTGGCAGAGCCGGAGGAGGGCAGCTCCCAAGTTCAGGAAGAAAGCATCCGAGGCATACATCTGGAAGAAGATCTCCGGCATCTGGTTAGCCCAGATTTTGGTGCGGCCTGCATTGGCATGGAGGCAGTTCCCAAGCCAGGATAGGATCTGGTGTTTGGTCTGTGGCGACAGCTGCAGCAGGTTCTTCAGCATCTGGTAGATCTTCTCATGGAACTGAGTCATGAACTGTTACCAAGACACCAGAAATCTAAACGTGTGTACATGTGCACAAAGGCTCCTGGGATCTTCTTCATGTGTGGTATCATTAAGCTCTAACCCCTTCCTCCCAGATTTCAGCATTTTTATCACTTACCAGACTCTCTGGGTCCAGTCTTTGCCCCAGACCCCTTACTAACACCAAAAGTAATCTTACCGGGGCGGGGGGTGAGGGTTACCATCAGGTAAGAGGGTTGGAGCTTTACAAGGAGCGTGACCGTTGCCTGCTCCTGCCAGCTCTACTGCGAAGACTGCCTGGCTCGGCTGCCCAAGCACGCACGCACCCACCACAATATGGATATGCACCTGATGAATGTTGGACTCCTGCACCTTGATCTCCTGAGGGCTGGACCGCGAGGGGTTCAGAAAGTAGCCATGGTTCTCTACCACACCTGGGGTCTTCAGCAAGCATGAAATGCTCAGGACAGCTCCAAGCAGAGTCTTCTGGTACAACTGACCATTGGTTGGGTCCTTTGGCTGGATGTAGTCAACAAAAACCTATAGAAGTAAAAGGTACTGCTAGCCAGGAAAACCCACAAAGAAAGACTGAGGTACAGGAAAACAAAATACACCCCTGTCCTTCCGTTCCACGGAATCAGAGCTTTGTCCCCAAAACCTCCTTTAACCAATGCATAGTTCAGCCACAGCAGATCAGGAAGAAAACGTTCCGTTCGCGCAAGTGCCGCATGCAGACCGTGAGCAAGAGCCCCCCACCTCCGGAACGGACACTGAGGATGGCTGGGCTGCTGCTGCCCTGCTGTGGACTGGGGGCTGCTCACTCTGGCTATATCCTTCTGCCTCGTGAAGTAGAGCAGCATGTCCAGATAGGAGTGCAGTAGAATCTGGCAAAGGTGCAGTTCTCGAATCCGCCCCAAGAGGATGTCGAAGACCGGCACCATGACCTCCTCAAACGTCCGCACTTCCTCATCCACGGTGATGACCTCTATGACATCCTCCAGGAATTCAGCTACCTCTTCAAAGTCTGCGTGTGGGAAGAGAAGAAGGGACACGAGCTTAAAAGGAGCCCCTTGAGAGGCTCTCCAGGGGTAGGAGCCCATTCACATCCTCAAGCTGGGATGCCCAGTTCTGCCTCCGCGACTTACAAGCTCCTCTCAGGGACTCCAGCATCAAGTCCACAAGCTGCTCATAGACATTCTGGTTGACATAGATCTCTGGGGTGAGGAAGACTGTGCGAGTGTTGGACACAGTCAGGTTCCGGCAGCGCAATGCAAAGGGCAACAGGTTTTCTGGTACTTTGGTAACCTGCAAGGACAGAGGAGCACGCTTGGTCTCTGGCATGCTCTGCGCAGGGTGGCAGGCTGGCTCGGACACGGGGAGCCTGGACTTACCTCCTCCTTTGCCCTCTGGAAGCAGGCAAAGAGGTAGCGAAGAATATGTTTCTCCCCTGCATCTCGTTCTGCCGAGAGATTCTGCATTATGGCTGAGGTCATGTGAATCAAGTGATTTCCTGGCTCTGGGAGCAAAAGTCGGGTGAAGAGTGCCTGAAGAGACAAGCCAACTCATAAATGCCCAGCACAAGGTCCTCTCCTCCTCCATCCCACCCCATCCCCACAATTATGCCTCACTCATAATTACTTGCTCCAATGCAAAGGGACCCAACCTCTTTGAGGTCGACCCCTGTGGCCGACCTGTCATCCTACTCATCAGTTGCAAGCCGAGAACCACAATACCATCACGCCAGAGGGGCTGACTTAAGGCGGAATCTGATAAAGCAACGCCTGTGGCTCTAGAAGGCAAGCCACACAAGCATTACTGAGGGAAGGCAGGAGTCCTCCCATTACAAGTCAGTCTTACTCAGCACCACGTTCCTTCCCTGCCATTGAGACCAGACTGATCTGAAGAGCAAAGCTAGCTCCCTTCACCTGCTGATGACCTTCACTGGGCCTCACGGATGGCCCACCAAATTCCCATCCTAGGTGAAAAGCTCTGCGTAAGTCTGTGTGCACCCACACATGCAGAGCTACCTGTTCCACATTCTCCATGTCCAGCCAGTCCTGGTCATCCAGATCTGCTGCCATCTCTTCCAGGTACACACAGCGTGCAGGAATTCCATTACCGCTTTTCAGATTGGGGTCACCTGCAGGTTAGGAAGCACCAAACTGTGACACTGAGCAAGAATTCAACCATACAAATCCCCTCCCCACAAGGGTTCCTGGTCTGGCAGGCGTCCAAAACAACCCATATTTCCAGGAAACTGACTTCTGGAGCAAGAGGGGGAAAGGAGAGCTATGTTTAGTTTTACTTGAAGCCAATGGCATGCCTGAAGAAACATGGACGTTATAAAACAAGGGAGGAATCAAAAGCACTCATGAGGAACTTTCACGCCACTGTACAAATGGATGGCTCTGAGCTTCAAGGGCTTTCTCCCTGCCGGATGAGATAGCACAAAGCAGCAGCGCCACAGCAAGACATACTAGATCCTTATCGTGATCCTAACTTGAAATGTTTTGCCATTTCAGTGGCCACCTTTTAGATCTTTGCAATGGACTGGCCAGCCAATAAAGGTGCCCAAAAGCAAGGAAGAAGAGTGCACTGGACCAACAGCTGTCCTCCTCCTCCTGGAACTTATACAGCAGGCAGCATGGATCCCGGAAGCTGCAACCTTGTTGCCTCCACCACACTGTGGCAGCTCAGCCTCAGCTGGGATGCAAAGAATCCCAGTGGGCCAGGGATCCTCCCAACCCAGATGCCAAGAACTCACTCCCCAAACTTACTGTTGTCAAGCGTGATCAGGAAGATCCTCTGGATCATGTGATTGATATTGAGCTGTTCACAGAGCTCCTGCTGGGAACGGAAGGAGCGGCTAATCTCAGCCACTGAATAATCACAGTCATCCAAACTCTCAGACACGCTGTTGTCAGAATCATCTTGGCTGGCTGAGGTTTCCTCAACTAGAGAAATAGAGCAGGTCAGCAAGCAGCCTAGTTTGGCCTAACTCAGTCTAGTCTGTCTCCTGCCCTAAAGAAAGGCTGAATGTCTGGAAAAAAGTGTTGGTTGCTATCATAGTTGGTACCTCAGGTCTAGCTGCTTTTCATGGTGCCAGGCAACAAGTGACCAGCAAGAACACTCAGGAACACATCACAGAGGGGCTGTTGCCTCTGGAGGAAAGGTGGAGACTGCCTGTCACTCCCACTGAATACTTTTAGGCCATTGCCTTCTCTCTGCATCATGCCTAAGCAGTCACAGTGAGCACCTGCACACCTAACCGGGCAGGTAGAAAGACAGCCTCAGTGGCCCCGATCTTTGCTCTTCCAGCAATTTGCAAAAGTGGGCATGTTTGGAGAAGTGCAGCAAGGCCTTTCCATATGGGGGAATAGAGTTGAGGGGACTTTCGTATCCGCTGGATTTCGGCTACTCCTTCCGCTAATCAGCGAATCGACCCTTGCACCCGTTTTTCAACCTGCTGCCCTAGAGCCAAGCCTCCGGGCTCCAATGTGGTTATCGCTTCCAATAAGCACTCCCTAACACGGGAGTGGGTGCGGGGGGGGGGGGGTGCGGGGGGGGGGGGGGGGGGTGGCAGCCGCTCCGCCGCGCCCGCTCCCCCGGGGAGGACTGCCCGCCCGCCTCTCTCACCTGCGGGCGGCGGGGGCTGCTGCCTCTGGATGTCGGCGAACTGCTTGGCGTCGGCGACGGAGCTGAAGAGGGCGGCGAAGGGGTTGCTGGAGATGCTGTTGTTGTTCTCGTGGTCGGTCATTTCCGCGCCCGGCGAGCGCCTCCTCCATCGAGGGCGGGCGACGAGGGCGACGGTCGCGTCTCCACGCCGGGGAAGGCCTGCTCGGGGCCGCACGGCGAGGGCTACTCGCGTCGGCGGGCGGGTCGGCCAGCCGGGGACCGACCGCGCCGGAGGGGAGGGGAGCGGAGCGGAGCGGAGCGGAGCGGAGCGGAGCGGCGCCCGCGGTGAGGCCTGCTGCTCCGGCCCAGGCCGCAACGGCAGAGACACCCAGAGGCCGCCCCGCGCTTCTCCCCGGCCCCACTTCCCGGACGGTCCACCTGGCAACGCGTGACGTCAGTGGATGCGCCAGACGTCATCACCGAGGGACGCAGAGGGCGGAAAGGCAGCCACAGAGCTACGCGCGTGTAGAGAGGCCCGCGCTGAACTGCGTCCTCCGGGCTGTTTCGGAGTTCCCTTTGAGCAGCCCATGGAAACATCGCGGGGAAGAGCTGTGCTTTGCTCAGCTATGGAGGGCGCCGCTCCGTGTGGCTCCGATCTGCCCCCGGGAGCAGAGGCAGCGCGCCGGGGGGTCCTTCGTGCGGGCGGAATCCCGCCGCTGCCGCTCCCGATGTGCTCACGGGGCACCGCAGGGGTGGGCACTGGGCCGGCAACTTTCGGGGGAGACGGGGCTCGGGAAGAGGGAGCGGCCGCGGCAGCCTCCGATTTCTCCATTAATCTCTGGGCGGCTTGGAGGGAAATAACCCGCCCCGAAGTCTTTCAAGGCGAGTTCCGCTCGCCCCAGCTCCGCAGCAGCTTGCATACACACGCATGCGGCCCCTTAATGGAGGTGGCACGTAGCCAGCAACACTGGTAGCCACTGTTGGCTGTCTCCCTCGTGGAATTGCCCAGTCCCCCTTTCAGGCCGTCCGAATCGATGGCCGTCGCACTTCCCGTGGATTGCAGTTGAGCCCTTCCTTAGGTCTGCCCCATTTCTTCCCAGTTCTAGTTCAGTGATTAACGATCCGAGAGGGATGAATGCGGTTTGGATGGGACTGGAGGCTGGTGGCGCTTCCGCAAAAGATGCGTTCGGGTTTCAGGACATACCGGCCCATCCATCGACATGCTCATTTTTGCTTGTGCTGGATAAACATTGCTTATTTGTTCAATCTGGAAAGAAGTAGTTAAAATTGTTCATTTCAGTTTTGAATAAAGGTTTAAACAACAGCATCTCAAAAAAGGGTATCGCAAAGCTGGAAAAGGTGATGAAAAGGGCAAGCAACTTGGCCAAGGGCTTGAAACAACTCCCGGGTGAGAAAAGGTGGTGCGGCTGGGGGCTTCGTCAGTTAGAATCGCAGCTATGGCTGAGGGGAAACGCAATGGAGGAGTACAGAAGGATGCATGGTGGTACCATCTCATAGTAGGAGGGTCCAGCAGAGTCATCCCAAATCTCCAAATGGTAGGAGATTCAAGAAAGATTAAGAGGAAAGCCTTCTTCACCATGGTCCCCTCTCGAACCGAGTCTGTTTTCTACTCAGCTCTTGGCTGTTTCACCTACTGGGTAGCAGGTGGAAATTATTCAGCTCTGTTTCTGCAGCATCTCTGACTTCTTCTCAGTCACTTACTTAGAGGGGGTGGGCAGAGCAGAGAGGGCCCAACCCACACGCTTCCTGTGGCAGTCTGTCTGCAGAGAAGCTCCTCTGGAGGCACACTGAGCAGCAAAGTCCCTATTCGTGCAAACTGGGAGAGTCTCCTCGAGAGCGAGCACAGGACCAACAGGGCAGCAGCGTGCAGTGCAGTTCTGCAGAGTGGCCATGGGAAGTGGCCGGGCAGTCTGGCGGGCGACAGTCCTTGGGTTGCTCCTCACAGGTAGGGCTGGCCTCCAGAGCAAGCTGGGCAGCGGGCAGAGGCGGGCGGCCTCCAGTCCTCAGGCGGGCTGGGAAGGGAGGCTTCCCCAGGGGAGGCGGAAGCGCTCCTTTGCCATGTGGAATTCGTCTCCCAGTGTCTGCGGCACCCTCCCAACGGGCGCCAGTTGCTCGAAAAGGAGGTCTGGCCCTCTCTGCCATCCAGCCTCCATCCTGAAGGGAATGGCTGTTGCGGCCAAGCCCCCCCCCCCCACCGCTGCAGAGCCGCACCCCCACCTCAGCAAAAACCCCCCACTGGCAGAGCCAGGCCTGGCTCGGCTTGAGCAGCAGCAGTGGCCTCTTCCTCAGCGTGTTCCACTGAGGCACCAAGACTGAGGCCCCTGAAGAGCCACGGACCCCCCTCGCCCTCTGCACACCTCCCTCCGATGGCCATCGCGGCTTCTTGTGGCTAATGGTGGCCACGAGAGGCAGCGTGCTGTGCAGGCAAGCGTGCTCAGGCTGGCCCCGGGCAGTGTCCACGCTTGCCTTATGCAAAGCGGTCGCTCGCACGGGAGCCGCTGAGCTCAGTGGCCTCCCCTGAATCCCCAGGCATCGTCCTTATTTGGCCTGCCCCTTTGGGGTCTAGTGTGATGACAGAGGGTGGAAGACCTCTCTCTGCCCCATTCCACACAGCACGCATCCTTTTCCAACCCCTCCTTGTGTCCCTCTGTGGTTTCCTCTACACCCCTGCGGTCCTTGTGCCGCCCCGGCCCCCCCGAAGACGGTGGTGGCCTCTCTCCAGCCCTTTGGTCCCTCTTGGGATGGGGCTGGCTGCATTCGTAATGCGCCCCCACCTTCCTTTCAGTCCCGCTCCTAGCAAAACAGCTTCTCTCAGACCTCTGTCCCTGAACCTATGGACCTCCTTCGGCGGCCCTCCCGCAGGCACCATCACTGGTGAGGTTAGGGGTGTGGCTGCAGGAGAGAGGGCCTTCCTACAGACAGGAGACCCCCCCGGGGAGGCTTCGGGGGTCTGCCCCGCAAGTGTGCTGTGCCAGGTAGCGACCTTTCTTCCTCCTTCGCACTGCTGGTTCATGGCTCCTTCTGCAAATCTGACGTTGTTTTTCCTGTGCAGCTTTAAACATTGCATTTTAGCATTTTAGCTGTATGTTTCCTTCTCAGAAAACTTCTGTTTTGTGGCAGATTCAAAACCAAGTAATAAAAAGTCATCCCTGTCGCGACTTTGGCCCTTTTCAGAGCTGCTGCAGAGCTGCTGCTGGGGTCCTCTGCCGCGGTGGCCGCTCGGAGGAGCTTCTTGAGCAGTGGCACTCCACACAAGGGGGCTGGCTTGGCAGTCGTAGCTCATCCTGGGGGGAGTTGCTGGCCCAGCGCTGCCCCAGAGCGCCGGTCCAGCAGCTCCGTGCAGGGCGATGCCACCTGACCCAGGGTCCCTCTCTCTCCCTCTTAGGCTTCATCCTGGCTGGAAAGGTGGCAGCTGCAGAAGGTACCGTTCCTCCTGGTCTCTTGGGGAAGGCAGCCATGAGCCTGGCTGAGGGCCGGCGTGGCTCCCACTCGGACGTTGCTGGCGTGGGGTGGGGCTGCAGGCTCTTCCTCTTGCCTGCATGCACGGGCAGCTCTGGGGGCAGCTGTCATCTCTGTCCTGCTTCCCCCCTTCTTTTTTCAATCTTGCATAGACAGTTGAATGCCGAGCCGGTTTGCTGACGGAGGCCACTGGGCTTCCAATACTGAAGAGGGCCTCCCCTGCTCGGGACCTCGCCACACGGCATCTCCCGGGGTGGGGAGCAGTGCGGCCACTGTGTGGGGGCCCGGCCCAGCCCAGCCCGCCTCCTTGGACAGACTGCATGGGGAGGGCAAGGCCCGGGGTGGCGGCAGTGGGAGGCAGAGCCAAGCTGCCCATGTGCTGGAAGCGCAGCGTGGAGGAGAAGCTGGGCAGGGCTGCGGAAGGCCTCTGCCACTCCCTGGCCGGGGCTGCCTAGGCAAGGCTACTAAACAAGGGGGACAGTCAGTCACCCTGCCGCCGCACGGAGAGGCTTCCGCCGGGGCATGTGGCAGAGGACCCTGGGTTGCAGCCCCGCACCCTGTGGGCGCCTCCTCCACTTAATCCTCTGCCATCTGGCTTGCAGGACCAACCATCCACGTGCTGCAGGCCGGAAAACAGCTCTCTCTGCAGTGTCAGGGGATCACAGGACACGTGAAGTGGATGCGAGATGGAGCCCAGCTGTCTGAGAGCCACCCCACCTTTCCCCTGGGCTCTGTGATGGATGACCCCAGAGGCGTCTTCCATTGCAACAACAGCGAACCCCTGCAGGTGTTTGTGCGAAGTGCGTGAGCCCCCACCCCAGCCCCTGGCTGAAAGCGCAGCACAGTGCAGGCGGCAATGGGCGGGGGGGGGGGGGGTGCAAAGGCCCACGGCCGGCCCTCTCCAGGGCAAGCTGGCCGGCCTGGCCTTATGCCGGCCTGCGGAGGCAGCTTTGTGTCCTTTCCTTCCCTGGGGAGAAGGGATGGGCTTGGGGCCTTGCAGCTGGACAGCCTCCTGAGAGGGGGGACTCCATGATGGGCCCTGCCCCGAGCAGGGACTGGCCCCTCCCCAGCCCCTTCCAGCTCCTGGGGGCTCTGTCTCGAGAGGAGAAGGGCAAGCCCTGGAGGCCAGACGAGTCTGGAAACCGTCGCTTCCGACCTGGACTCACCTGCCGGCTAAAGCGGTGTCCCAGGCTGTTCCCCTCCCACCCCTTCCCAGCAGACCCGGACAAAGGCTTTCTCTCTAAAACGTTTTCTTATGCCACGGCTGGCTGCAAAGTGCACGTGACGGGCAGAGCAGAGCGAGGCCACTGCCCAAGAAGGAAATGCCCCTGGCTGCTTTGCAGTTAATTCTGTCTGCTGGCTTTTACTCCTTGGGCCCGTCAGAAGCTGTTTACCCAAATCTGGCAGGTTCCTGTGTGAGAAAAGCAAGCCCAGTCCCTGCAGGCAGGGAGTCCAGCCACACTCAGGGGCTGCCTCTGCTCGGTCAAGGCCTGGGTGGGCTGAGCCTGAGTGTGAGCGTGCCGGCAGGCGTGTCGTGGTAGGAGCCCGGGGCACACGCAGTGTTCTCTCTTGCTGCAGTGTGCCAAAACTGCATCGAGCTGAACTTGCCCACAGTCTGCGGGATCCTCGTGGCCAGCCTCGTGGCCACCCTCTTCCTGGCTGTGGCTGTGTACTGCATCGCTGCAGAGGAGTCGGGCTGGCAGCCGCGGGGTGAGTGCTGGGCTGCAGGGGGCCCTTCTCCGGAGGAGGAGCCGTGCTGACAGTGCCCCCTCCTCCCTGGGGGCCTGGAGGAGGGTCGGCTCATGTCTGCCCACAGAGGGCCCAGAGCCGGCGCCTCCCCTCGCCCGCTTCCCGCCTCTTCCCCCTCTCTTCTGGGTGGGCCAGAGCGACCCAGCTGGCGAGGGGGGCTGGCTGCAACAGCCCTCCCTGCCCTGCTGTTCGGTCCGTTTCCCGTGGTCTCAGAACCGCATTTTTGCCTCTGCAGCTTCTGAAAAGCAGAACCTGCTGGCCAACGAGCAGCTCTACCAGGTGAGTGTGGCCTCTGGATCTGCACAGGTCTCCCGCTGGGCAGGAGGTGCTCGCCAGGCAGCCCTCCCAGGGACTCTCTGTCCAGCACGAGGCAAAGCAGTGCGGCTGTGGAAGAGCGGTCAGGGGCTGCTCACGTGCGTGTGGCCGGCATGCTGGGCTCGGGGCACGTGGTGCTGGCCACTGAGACGGGCGGTGTCCAAGAAGGAGGCCGAGAGCGAGGCAGAGAGGCCGACTCTGCCCTCCTGCAGCCGCTCCTGCAGTTCGCATGTGCGTGAGGAATGGCAGGGTCTGCAGCTCCCACCCGAGGGGAGACGAGGGAAGGAAGCAGCCTCCCTGGTCAGAGGCGGGAGGGGTGGAGGGCCGGGCCGGGGCTTCCCACAGAGCCCATGTGCCAGTTCCTGCTCTCCTGATGGGGCCAGGAGGATGGAAGGTGAACGAGCCGAGCCCCCTTCTCATGCAGGCCTTTCTCCCTCTCCCTTCAGCCTCTTGGAGAAAACACCAACGGGCAGTACAGCCACATCGGGGCGGCCAAGGCCCGCCGCCGGTGAAAGGCTGCCGGACTGCTCTGCCCCGGCCTTCCTGCTTGACCTTCGCGTGGCCGGATCCCTGGTGGCCGACTGGCGGCTGCCTTGAGGAGCCAGAGCGGGACAGGGACGTGCTTTCAAGCAGCAATAAAGGGCGCCTCAATCTTGCCACTGCCTTTGGAAATGACGCGTGTCTCTCGTATTGAATGAACGGGTGAACTGCTGCTTGCTGCTCCCTTTTTCCAACCCACTCATAATCAGAAGTGCTTCTATATCTCAAAGGTCAACAGCAGTTCTTACGGCAGCTGTTGCTTTGCAAAGCTGAAGAAAGGCGGTTGGGAGTGAGATGAGTAACAAGTTTTGCAAGTGCCAAAAAGTAGCTCTGGGCTGCCTGGAGGTGGGTGATGGGGTAGGCCGGGGATCCAGGGCCAGGCTTGGGCCTGAGGGACCGCCTCATCTGGAGCAGAAGATGAAGGGCCCACTCTGCTCCTTGCACCCCTCTGTGGCTAAGGCTGTGCTGCTCAAATGCCACCTCTGCATCTAATCTCTCTCAAGGCAAACATCTCCGCTTCCTTTGCTTCGAGAAGCTGCGAAGTGGGAGACTCCAACCCGGCTCGTGTGGAGGGCTCTGGCTCCGGGCCCTGGCTCAGGCGCCCACCCACCCCGGGGAGCTGCTGCACGGAGGGAGAGCACGTAGCAGATGCCGATCGCCAGCGGCGGGGGTTGTTTTCGAGAGCAGCTGCGCTTGCTCTGACCACATCCTGTGGAACAAGTGTGGTACCTGAGGCTGCGTGTGTTTATGTGGGACCGCAGCTCTTACTCCCACCGCAGCTGCCACTTCCTGTGCAGCGCTGCCTCCCTTTGGGGCCACCAAGTGGCTCCCATCCTGCCACAGGCAGGGGATGCTGGTCGGTGTGTTTCCCGGGGAGACTGCAGGGCCCTGCCTTCCCAAATGCTCAGGCAGGCCTGCGGCCCCTCTGTACCCTGTGAGGACCATGCGGGCCACCTCTCCTCCGGTCTGCAGACGCCCCTGTGATGGACGCTCCCCCAGCTGCCCTCCCCCTCAGACTCGCCCCGAGCGGCTCTTGTCCCCTGCAGCCCACCTCCTTCCCACCTGGCTGCCCCAAAGCCCCCGCTGGGTCTCCCAAGAGCAGCTAGCAAGAAGGAGCGACGGCCAAGAGGGCAGAGTCGGCAAGAAGAAGCTTTATTGGGCTCTGGCAGGCGCAGCCGAACAAGCAGGGCACAGAGTGGGGCCGGTCCCCCTGCCTCGCTCCCGCGGGGCCCGAATGCAGGAGGCACAGCGGCGGAGGGCGGGGGGCTGCTGGCCAGGTGGCCTGGGTGTCAGGGGCAGCTGGACCGACACGGCTGACGCCGCGCTGCCATCCCCACATCCCAGGAACCGCGGGTGGGTCTGCCTGCGAGGAGCTGATGAACAGGCCGCGAGAGCAGGCGGGGTCCGGAGCTGAGCCGAGCTGCTGTCGTCCTGGAGCCGGAGCCTCCAGGTCTGGGACGATGCCCTGCAGCCCTCCCGCCACCAAGCGCCGCTCGGGCCTGGCAGGCTGCGGATTCCAGCATGGGGGTGCTGCCCTGCTCCCTCTGCAGCTGCCTGCACAGCTCCTCTTCTTTCCGGGCCCCCGACGTGGGAAAGGTCTCGGGCGTCACTGCCCGCACTGGGCCTGCCTCTGCAGGGCAGGGCTGGAGGCACCCGGCAGGGCTCTGGAGGAGGAGGCAGGCTGTCTTCTGGGAACAGTTGCGATGGCCACCGTGCCAGGACTGGGCTGCCGAGGGAGAGCAGTTGCTGGGCAGCAGGAACCAGGACGGAGAGGGGAGGAAGCGGCCGAAACCAACGGGCGAGGCGGTGGTGCCTGGCGAGCCTTTGCCAGCCAGGGTGGAAGAGGGATCCTCGCAGCGCACGGGCCGTCACTCAGAAGGCTTTGGGCTCCAGCCCAGCGTACACCTCACGCTGGCCCTTCCGGATGGGCTGCAGGGGGAGAGCAGTCACCACTCCCTGCGGGCCCCTGCGGGTGGGTGGCTAGTGCGCCGGTCCCACTGCCTCAGGAGAGCGCGGCCCCCCCGGGGAGCGGTTTCACAGGACCCAGGGATGCCGGGGCCGCTCCGGCCACCTGCCCTAGCTTGACACCCCCCAACCCCACATGGCTGGCCGGTTGGGGCCCCTGGTGGGCCAGCACCGCCCTGGCGGGCTCTTCCCTCCACAGCAGCACAGTGCTGGGCTTACCTCGTAGTCCGGGTTCGGGACTGGCGGAGGGCGGTCCGCTTTTGGGCCTGGAACAAAGGGCAGGGTCAGGGGTCCTTCTCACAGCCCCATGGCAGAGGTCGTGAGGGGCCCGCCGGGTCTCCCTCCCCCTCGATGGAGCACTCTGGGCCCCAGCAAGCTTCCTGAGGAGGGGGCCCCTTCTGCCCCAGCACCTCCCCACCCAGCCTCTCCGCCCCCACCCCCAGAGAAGGGCACGCTGCACGTCCCAGCCTGGCCATTGGCTCTTGGGCGAGGCGGAGGGGGGCGCCTGCAGGGCTGCCCTCCCCGGGCACGGTGATGCCACCTTCCAAAGGCTGCGGGCAGAGCGTTCCTGTCCCACTCCCGACAGCCCCTTTCTGGCAAGAGGAAGGGAGGCCACCCGGGTGGAGGACCAGAGAGGGCTCCTCGGGGAGGTCTGCGAATGAGCGCCCCCCCCCCCGCCGTGCAGGAGCCCGGGTGCTGACAGGAGAGGCTGGGCCCTCTCGCCCGGCCTGCCTGCAGAGGATGGGGCCCAGGGGCACTCACCTCGTGGCCGCCCGCGGGCGCCTCCCCGGGCCGCGCCTCCGCCGAGGCTGGCCGCGCGGCTCCTGCGGCAGTAGTAGACCAGGAGCAGGACTCCCAGCGTGATGAGCAGGTCCGCCGCCACGATGCCGGCCACAAGCCCCATGCCCAGCTCCACGCAGTCTGCGCACACTGCCCGGGAGACAGAGACGGTCAGCGCGGTCGGGGCTCGGGGCTTAGCGGTCCGGGAAGACCCAGGCTGACGTCAGCCACCCCAGGCGTGGCTCCCTGCCGGGTGTCACCCGCAAAGGGCAGAGGACCCGGGGCCTCCCCCCGGCCCAGGGCGGCAGGGCCGGCTGTGAGCCGCAGGGACCTTTGGCCTTCAGGAAGATCCTCCGGGTCCCCTCACTGCCTTTGCAGGTGTACTCTTTGCCCTTCTCGATCTCGAGCAACTTGTCCTCTTCGATGGTGAAGTGCTTGCCGTTCGTGCTCTTTTGCTGCTCCCAGCTGGACTCTTTCAGGGGGCAGATGAGAGTCACGGACTTCCCGGAGATGTCCACACCGATCGGCCCGGGGTCTGGGGAGAAAAACGGCGGCTCCCTGGCAATGGCCACGGACTCAGCCCTGTCCCCCTTCCTGCCCCCTTGCAGCACGTGGGCTGCAAAGCAGCCCCAGAGAAGAAGCACCCCGGAGCAGGAGGAGCCTGGAGCAAGGAGAGCCGTCTCCTCCCAGACGCACCCCATCGCCGGGCGTCCAGAACCAGGGGCTGCCCCCCGCCCGGGAGAAGGGGCCTCCCTTCATTCTGTGGGGAACGCCCAGGGGCCAGCCTGGCCCCCACCAAAGGACTCCTGGGACGAGGATGCCCTCAGTGGGTGCCGAAAGCACCCGGCATGGCTTCCTGCCTGAGCCCCCGAGGCAGGGAGTCCCACGGGGGTGGGGGGGCTGTCATGTCGAAGGTGCTTCTCTTGGGGATCTGTCAGGTCACGGTCCCCGAGGAACCACCGCCTCCAGCGCAGTCCGTGAGCCTGCCTGCCGGACCCCCAGGAGCCGCTCCAGAGGCTTCCGCCTCATCCGCCCATCGCTGAGCCCAGAGGGGGCCCAGCAGGCCGGCGGCACTTGGCCCCAGGCACCAGTGGCGGCCAGCAAGGGCTGCCCGCCCAGCACAGGGGAGGCTGGGCCACTGTCCCAGCTCTCCCGTTGCCCGGTCCCAGCTCCCCCCACCCCCTCTTCCTACCCCACCAGCCCTGGTGGGCCCCCCCCCCCCCAAATACCCAGGAAAGGGAAGCCTAGGCTAGGCACTTGGGGCCAGCCCCTCTTACCTTCAGTCTGTCCCCGGACAGGGCTGCCTGTGAAGGAGAAAGAGAGGGGCGGTGAGGAACTGGCCGTCCAGGCCCCAAGGAGCCCCCCAGCCACAAGCAAGGCCTCCCCTCCGGCTCCTTTGACAGAATGCAGGCCAAGCCACGGCCCCTGGGAGCGCTGCCACGGTGGCCTGGTGAGCGCCCGGCCCCTGCTGCTCCGTCCCCACAGACAGGCCCACTGTACATGCGTGTCCTGCAGCTGGCGGCCATGCTTGCCCCGCTGCAAAACCTGGAGGGCAGCACGGGCTTGCTGCAGAGCAGAGCGCCCTCACCCCCAGGAATGGCTGCAGCAGCCCTGGGCAGGTGCCGGCACCCTCGCTGCGGCCCAGGGGGCTCCCAGGCCTGCACTCGCCTGGCCCACGGGTGCACCTGCCCCCTTCTTCCACTCCAGGCATCCTGCGGAGGGCGCCACCATTCTCATCCCAAGAAGCCGCCTGCACCCCGGCTGAGCGGGATGTGCACTTCGTGAGGCCAACAGGGCAGGCTGGGGGAGCCGGACCATTCTGCCACAGGGTGGGGGGGGGCTGCCCCCGGCTTTCCACAGGACCAGACATGTTCAAGAGTGGGGGGAGAGGAGCCCACGAAGAGCTGTCTGTAAAATGGAGTGCTTGGGCTGGGTAGCTGCGTGAGCTCCGGGCCTCATCTGCTGGGCCCTGCAGGAAGCTCTTGGGCCAGCTGGGCTCGTGGGACACTCTGGGCCAGCTGGGCTCGCGGGACACTCTGGGCCTGGTGGGGCGCTGTCCCAAGTGCCGCCGACCCCCATGCTGGGCTGGCCAGTCGTACTCACGGAAGCAGAGCAGGAGTGCCGCCAAGGCACCGAGGCCAGCTGCGCTGCGCATCTCCGCACTTTCTCCCTTTCCCGCAGCTGCTTTAGAGTTCTCTCGTCTGACCCATACCGCTTCCTTTGCCTCTGGAAAAGCTCGAAAGGCACCCCCGAACTGCTGCGTGTGGCCACCGTGGGAGCAGAGCGAGACAAAGACGCCGTTTCCGTGTCAGCCTCAGACCTGCTCGAAACGCCTGTGACAGCATCACCAGCCCGGAAATGCAGAAGCACGAGGCGGCGACACGCTCCCGGTGGGGCTGCTGGCGAGGCCTGCGGTGGGAGGGGAGCAGCACCTGGTGCCCCACCGCCCCCAGCTCAGCAAGCTCCTCCCCACAAGGCCAATGCGTGCCAGCCCTGCCTTCGCTTCCCCAGGTCAGCTGTGGGCCCCGCGAAATGCAGAGCATCCCTGCCTCGTTTTCAGCGCTCTTCTACAGATCTGTGTCCTGCTCAGAGTCCGGGTTCGGGACTGGTGGAGGGCGGTCCACTTTTGGGCCTGGAACAAGGGCAGGGTCAGGGGTCCTTCTCTCAATTTCGGTTGCATTTCAGGAAAACCTGGGAAGAGAACAGAGCTAAAAGCCAGATCAAGGGGCTGGACTGATTCCTCCATGAGGGACGTGTGCAGTGCTTGGGACTTTTTAGCTGGGAGGAAAGACGGCTGAAGGAGAACATGGAAGAAGTGCCTAGATCAGTGCTGGCGAACGCATGACATGCGGGCCATGGAGCCCTCTCTGTCGGCACGCGAGCCCAGTCACCCCAGCAGCTGAGCATCAGATAACAGCGCACACCGGGGCCATGCGCATGCTCGGAAAGCAATAGCGGCGCCAGGCAAAGTCACGAGCCACGACTCAGTAGCCACAACTCATCCAAGCTTTCACATGGCCAGTCAGTGCACTGCCAAGGGGGGGGGGGGGGGGGGGAGAGAGAGAGAGAGAGAGAGAGAGAGAGAGAGAGAGAGAGAGAGAGATGCTTGCACTGACTGTGAGGTGTTTTTTCTAAACTAAAACCTCAGTTTTTGGATTTTATTGCAGTGTTAGCACTTTAGGATAAATAAGTGTGTTTTGGGTTGCAGTTTGGGCACTCAGTCTCTAAAAGGTTCACCATCACTGGGTTAGAGTTAGAAAAATGAGGCGTCCTGGCTTGATTTTGATGGTTGGAATGTGTTTACAGTGGGCACAAATGATGAGCTGTGCCGAGAAAGCTACTCTGGGAGGCCTTTTTCAAAATCGCCCTCTTTTCAGTGGAACTTTAGCCCTAAATAAGCAGTCAGGGCATCGTGTCTGCAGCGAGAAGGCGGACAGGGAGCGGTTTCCCTTCCTCTCTGGGAACAGCTGAACCCCAAAGGGCCCCCCAGCGCAGCTGATTGGGGGGAGGCCCAGGACAGCTCCCGCTTCGCACAGTGCGGCGCTCAGCATGCAGTGAGGGCGGCAGCTGGTGTGGCTCCGAGGGCACTGGCCGCATGCCTGGGGGAAGGCTGGCCGGCCGGCCGGCCGCTGCTCCCAGGGGCTCCGGGGAGGCTCGCACCCCGGTGGGGGCCCGTGGCGGCCGGAAGGTGCCCTTGCCCAGCTGGCCGCCCGCCTGGAGCGCGCGCTGGCCTGGGTGGGAACCGAGCGGCAGGCAGGGGGCCCTTCTGCGACTCCGCCCCACTCAGTCGGGTCCCCCTGGGAGAGCCGGAGGGCCGGCGGGCGGGGCGGAGAGGCGGCGCCCGGGCTCCGGAGAGGCCGCCCGGGCGACGCTCCTGCCCCGTCCCGTGGGAGAGGGCGGGCCGGCCGCTGCCTCCACCTCGCGCATTCCAGCGCGGAGCCGCACCTGAGCGGCGCCATGGCCGCCCTGCCCCCGCGCCCGCCGGGCCCCGCCGGTGCCGGCTCGCTGCTGCTGCTGCTGCTGCTGCTGGGTGAGCGACGCGGCCGCCCCGGCAAGGCGGACGAGCCCCGCAGGGCAACGGGCAGCCGGGCTCGGGGGGCGGCGGGAGCGGGGCTGAGCCGCGTCGGCCCGCGCGCGCCCTGGTGGGAGCGCCCCTCGCAGGCGCCCGGGCGTGGACAGGCGTGGAGCCGCCGCCTGCGCCCCGGCAGCTGGAGGCGTCCCCGCGCGGGCGGCGCGGCTCCCGGGGCCGCACCGGGCTGGTCGGGGGCCGAAGGGCCGGGCGCAGCTGGCCTGTCCGGCCGCGCATGGCCGGCAGCTGCTCGGTGCCCGGGGAGCAGCCTGGCTGTGCTTCCTCCAGCCCAGCCGCCCGGCCGCCCTCTCCGTCGAGGCTCTGGCTTCCCTGGGCAGCGACCCTCCTCGCCCACCTCCAAGCAGGACTTGCCGCCAGATCGCGACCACCAGCGCTCTCCGAGGGGCCCTTCGCGAGGGGAGGCTCCCCTGCCTCGCCTTGGCCGCCGCTGGGAGTCTGAGGCAGAGAGCCGGGCTTGCCTGGGCGCTGCCTTCCTCGCCCTGCGTCGCACAGGCGCGGGCACGTCCGCCTCGGACACGGCAGCATGTTGGGCAATTCACCCGGATGCGCAGCGGGGCAGCCTTCCCTCCCCTTCTGGGCGCCTCGCTTGAGTCACCTCGGCGGGGCGAGCAGGCGCGGACGCCCAGGCGGCTCCCCTGGCCGGGCTCCTGTGCCCAGGTGGGGCAGAGTGAGGCGCCTCGGAGGCCCAGGCAGGGGGCGCATCGCCCAAGGCCAGCTAGCCCAGGGCAGGGACGTGCTGCAGGAGCGCCTGGTAGCCTCACTCCCCCAGTGTTCTGTTGCTGGCCAAGCGGGGCTCCAAAGTATACCTTGAAGAGGCCAGGCCTTTCCGAGGGCTGGGAGGTAGGAGCCGGCTGGTGGCCCTGTGGTAAGTGCTGGCAAGCCGGGGACGCTGCAGACACCTCTGGATCTGGAGGCACACACCCACTTCATGGTGGGGTGACCGTCTGCCCGCCAGAGAGTGACATTCCCACAGTTCACTGTCAAGCAGGGGCCCGTTCGTTTCTTGGAGCGTGGCTTCAGCAGCCTTAGCCTGGCTGTCCTGCTGCCGCCTTCTGCGAGGGCAGCCTAAAGGGGGGTCCGAGGAAGGCTCCGGGTGGCGGGCTGCCCCCTCTGTGCCCTGCAGAGCAGCCACGCCAGGGACCGCCTTTGCCAGTGCAGGCTTCTTATTCCTGTTCGGTCTGTTTGCCTTTAGTGTTCCGGTCCGTGGGGGCTCTGGACATTTATACCCCTGGATCCCTGGAAGCGGTGAACGGGACAGACGCGCGCTTGAAATGCACCTTCCGCAGCCACTCCCCTGTTGGACAGCGGCTGACAGTGACCTGGAACTTCCAGGCCCAGCCAAAGGGCCCAACAGAGTTTGTGAGTCCCGCTCTGCCCATTGGCCCCGCGTGGTCGGTGTCAGCGGCTTGATCTGGCTTCTCCTGCCCCACCAGGTTTTCTACTACAACGACCAGCCGTATCCGCCCAGCTCAGGTCGCTTCTCAGGCAGGGTCACGTGGGATGGCGACATCCACAGGAACGATGCCTCTGTCATGCTCTGGAACGTGAATCCCAATGATAACGGGACCTTCCAGTGCCACATCAGGAACCCGCCGGACGTGGACGGCGCTGCCGGGGAGATCCGGCTGAGTGTCGTGACGAGAGGTGTGTGAGCTGAGGAGGGAGGTGCGGAGTTGCTCAGGGGCCAGACGGCTGGGCAGGGGCTTCCGGCCCCGCCCTGACATGCCCCGCGTTTCTGCACAGCAAGCTTCTCGGAGATTCATATCTTGGCCCTGTCTGTCGGTGCTGCCTGCCTTCTGATGATTGTCATCGTGGTGGTGGTGGTCACCTGCCGTCACTGGCGGAGGATGCGGCAAGACAAGGCCCGGGAGGCGGTGGAGATGGAGATGTGAGTGTCTGTGTGGGGCTTCTGGAAAGCTTGTGAGGGCAAATAGCCTGCCCCCAGGAGCCCCAGCTCCATGGGCCTATTGCACCACAGCCAGCGGGGGACAGGAAGGCTGTTTAGGGGTTGTTTAGGGTTGTTCAGTGGATACCGCAGTGAGGACCCAGGGATGTGATGGCCCCCCACCTGTGCTCTGGTGTTCAGGTGGGTCGCTGGTGAGTGCTAAAGGGTTGTGGGAAGGCGGAGGCGAAAGCTCAGGCCGTGTCCGCCCACGGAGCAGAAAGAGGTGAGTGATGGGCCTGGATCACTCCGGGCTGCAGGCAGATGGACTCTTCTCTGCAACGTTCCGCACAATAACCCCCTGCAAAAAGTTTCTAATGCTCCAAGGCGAAAGGTTGTCCTGTGCGAGTGGCACCGGCTTCCTTTTGGCAGGAAGTTCTTAGCGAAGCAGCCGTGTGCGGGTGGGACTGTCCCCTCCCGCTCGGTCACCTCGGCTGGTGCAGGCCATCCTCTCTGGGCTTTGCTGCCCATTGAGAGCTGCCTGGAAGAGGAGCCTGCTGCAGCTCTGGGTGGCTCGCACTGAGCCAGGGGAAGAGGGGCTGGCTGGGGAGGGGCTGGCGGCCGGCAGCAGCCAAGGGCGGCTCCGCAGCATCTGCCAGATGCAGATCCTGACTCACAGGGCACAGGGATGGGCGTGTGAGCGCTTTGCCTCCAGCCAGACCTAGGAAGGCGGGGTGGGGACATGCACCAAAGCCTAGGCTCGCCCTCCAGACTGAACGCAGGGCTCTCTGGGTGGTGGGAAAGGAGCCCCCCCCCGCTCGCCTCAGCCGCTCTGGACCAGTTCGGGCTCCCTCCTCATCCGCCTGGCCCTGCCACTCTGGGGAGGTGGCACTGATGGCTGCTTGTGTTGCATTTAACAACAGGCCCGAGAAGGAGAAGCTGAGGGACAACCAGCAGGAGAAGGGGACGCCTTGGCGCAGAGAGGATGCCTGAGGGGCTGGCCGGTACCGTGGCCTGCCTGCTTCCACCGGAGGGCTTTCTCGTCCTGGGGGACCCAGTGTGGGCACTGGGGAGGGGCTTCCTCATAGCCGCCCAGCTGTTGCCTGGCCTCCCGAGGGGGAAGGAGCAGGAGGGCCAGTCGCTTCCTTCTCTCCATCCCTGCCCTGCCCTGCCCTGCCCTGCCCTGCCCTGCCCTGCCCTGCCCTGCCCTGCCCTGCCCTGCCTGGGGAGGGCCAGCCTCCAAGGGCTTCTGGGCCACCTTGCAGGCCCCGCTGCAGCCCTGCCTCCCGCCCGTCCGGATCCTCCTCACAGGCCGCTGCGCCCCCTCCCCGTGCTCTTCCGGGCTCTGCTCAGAGCGGGCAGGGGCTGGATGCTTGGCGGGCGGGGGGGGGGCGTGATTCGCCTTCGGGGCTCCTGTGGCTGCGCCCATCGTGGGGAAGGCTGCTGGGGCCCCAGCGTCCACAAGGAAGCAGGGGCTGGGGCTGGGCTGACGAGACCTGACTGCTTCTTGCATGGGCATGTGGGCAGACTGCGGACAGCTCCTTCTCGCTTCTTGCCGAATGGTCAAGCCCTGCAGACAAGCGCAGGCCCGCCAGAGTGCTGGCCGGGCGACTCGTGCGGCACAGGAAAGGGCGGCCGAGGCAGCAGCCACGCTGCCTGCTGGTGCCCGCGAGGGCAGCTGCCTGCTCCGGGACTGAGGCGGGGCTGGTGCCCGGCCAGGGATGCGGCCACCAGCCTCCCGCCAGCACGGCAGAGAGCGGGGTGAGCAACCCTTTTCTGCCCGGGCTTCCGTGTTGCACAGTGGAGGGGTGGGGTGGATTCGGCGGCAGGCAGGCAGTGCCAGAGTCCAGACGGGGGGTGAGGGGGGGGGGTCACCCTGTTCTCTTTCTGTCCCCCCCCCCCCCGTCTTCCCTTCCCTACAGCAGGTCTTAGGGACCGCCCTGCAGTGCACTCCAAAAGTCCCTGGTTTGGCTGCCGTTGGAAAGCTTCCTGCAAGAGACCTGAGGGAGCCACTGCTGCCTGTCAGTGTAGACAGTGCTGGCCAGATGGGCCTGGTGCCTGGCTCAGCACGTGGCCGCTGCCTACGCTTCCCCGGCACATGGGGAATGTGCGGCACCTTGTTGCCGTGTCCGATCTGATTGCACGCAGAGGGCTTGTGAAGGGAGGCTCAGGGCTACCCGTCGCCCGGCCGCCTGACCTGTGCCGGGGCCCTTTCACTTCCCACACAAAGGGCCAGGCTGGCCTGTATCCAGACAGGGAGATGCTCCAGGAAGCTGGAGCGAGGAGGATCCAGGTGCCTGTTCCAGCCCTGAGCAGGCTGCTTCTTTGAAAGGGGCAGCAGCTTCCCATTTGTGGCCTCCCTGCAGCCAGAATCGAGCCATTTCTCTCCAGCGCAAACGTAACTGCACTTCTGTTGCCCTCTCAAGTTCCGGAGGAACTCAACCCTTGAGTCCAGCTGAGTAACCTGCCAAGCCCAGCCCCCTCTGGCTAGGCTGGCTGGAAGTGTGCCATGTCGCTCTGTCAAAGTCCTTGGTGCTCCAGCCAGGAAACCAACCACCAGAGTACAGAGCAGTTTCCACATCTGCAGTGCCAGCCGTCCTGGCTGCCTGCCCTCTTCTGCCCAGTCCACCTTCTGCGCTTGCTCTTGCAACAAATCGGGCGGAGGTGCTTGTTCACTGAGCTTGCTCTGCTGCTGGGCTGTGGCACCCGGGCTGCTGGCAGTCCTGCCACCCCTGTGCAGGCATGTTTTCCTACGCGCACTGAAAAGTTGCTTTCACTGCCTTTCATTGGTTTGAAACTCCTGGGTTTCAGATCCGGTTGAACTCCCTGCAATAATTGCATGAAGGGGAGGGGGTGTGTCATAACTGTATTTCACAACTGTAGAGTCTCACTCTTTCATACTTTTTTAAAAAAAGTCTTTGTATGTAAATAAATTGAATTTCATAATAAACTTGTCCAAATGTGTCCATGTGAATTTGTTGCAGCAAAACCAGCAGAGTTCTGCGCCACCTCAAAGACTAGCAAACTTCTGGCAGAAGGTTTTGTCATGTTCACCACTGCATTGCATGCATGAAGTTTCAAATGGATGGAAGTGTTTATTTTTAACAAAAATGGTAAACGTCAGGCAGGAGGAACCAAATGTAAATTTGATGTGGCTTCAAAGAAGGGGAGCGGGGGAGGTGCTGGAGGTCCCAGCCACTGGCCTGGCATGGAGGGGGTGCAAACTGCAGAAAGTCGGGGATCCAAGGGCTGGAATTCAGGTGGCTCTGAAGGTCTGGCTGGCCGAGGGGGTGCACATAGGCACTGGCCGGCCGGCCCACCCAGCCCTGGGGCCGAGGCACCCCACCCCAGGCAGGAACGGGGAGGGGGCTCTGCGGGGCAGCCCCTCCTGGCATGCCTGGTGTCTGCCCCTGAATGCCGAGGAGGGGTGTGTGGCGTGGCCAAGGGAGGAGTCCCCGACAGAGGTTGGAGGTAATGTTAGGTTAATGTTTGTTTTTCCTATTAAAACTCTCACAGAGCGTTGGAAGGTGGAAGATGGGTGGCTTTGGGAACTGAATGTACAGGTTGCATGTGTTTAAAAGTCCCTTGGCAACTTTACGTACTTGGTTCATTTTAGTTTCCTTTGTTTATTTTCGGTTGCTTGTTTCTATATTCTTTACATGCTAAGAAAATAGAACACCAAAACAGCAAAAAGAAAACTTTCCGGAGAAAGGCGAGGGCAGAGCGGGGAGATAAGCGGGAGGGGCCGGCTCCGTAGAAGCGGCCACGGCTCCGGCGGACGAGCGCTCGCCGCCCGCCCCGGTCGCCTCGTCGCCCGCCCCCGGCCCAGCTGCAGAGCGCCGCCCGCGCCCGCGCCCGCGGCAGGAGGGCCGGGCCGTCCCTGGCGCGGCGCCGCCCCTTCCGGCTGCGTCTGGGGGCGGGGAGGCGAGGATGGGGCCGCGGCTGAGGCGGAAGAGCGCGGCGGCCCTCCTGCTGGCCCTGCTCGGTAAGCGCGGGGCGCGGGCCTGGGCGGGAGGCGCCGCGGGCACCCGCCTTCGCCGCCCCGCGGCTGCTGTGCCGCCCGGCCCGGCCGGATCCGCCGCGTGCGCGGGCGCGTTCCGTGCTTTGGGCCGGCCGAAGGCGCCTCGAGCAGGGCGGCCGGCGTTAGAGAGGCGGGCAGCCCGCAGGAGACGTGCCTGCGCCCGAGGCCGCGAAGGGCCCGGGCCAGAGGCGTGCGGGCAACCCTGGCCTGCCTCGCAAGGTTGTTGTGGAGCGCAGATACAGCGCGCTCCGCATATACCAGCCCGAGCCGCTGTGTCTCCTTAGGGGGAAGGCCAGTGGTCTCCCGCAGGGCTGCACCCCAGTTCCTGCTGCAACCTCCAACCCCCCCCCCCCCCGCAAGTGCATCTGGGTGCTTTTCAGGGTCTGCAGAAGCCCCAGGCCCCTCCCTGGGGTTGATCTTGCTGCGCCCCTTCGCCCTGGCTGGCTGGCTGGCGAAGCCTCTGGGCAGCTCTTAGCTGCATATCCTGCAAAATACTCCCGGGGAGAGGGAGGCGCTGCTGGCTGGCAGGCCGGCTCCCCCCTGAGCACAGCTTCCGCCAAGAGCTGAGCCCCCTCTGGGGTTGTCTTTTCAGCAGTCACCCAAATCCACGCCCTGGAGATCCAGGCTGACCCAGAAGTGCAGGCCTTCGTGGGGGAGCCAGTGACCCTGAAATGCTGGTTCAGCTCTTCCTTTCCAGTCACGGAGAAGCTGACCATCGACTGGACATTCCGGCCTCTGGCAGGGGGCAGCCTGCAGCCGGTGAGTGGCTCTTGCGGCTGGCCGGCCGGCCTTCTTCCTTGCTGCTGGAGCGGGAGCTGTTGCTGGATGCGTCCCTGCTGTGGGGGCTGGCATGGCAGGCCTGCCCCCGGCTGCCCGGTGCTGTGTGCCGGTCAGAGAATGCCAGCAGCATCAAGAAGCTGCTCCTTCTGGCACTACAAGGAGCCGCCTGGCTGGGACGTGCTGCAGAGCTCTGGGGCGGCTCGTGCTGCGGCTCTGGGTCATCCCTGGGTGCCGCGCTCACGTTCTGACCCCCCTCCAGATCTTCCATTACCAGGCTGATGCCTACCCAGCCAAGACGGGCACCTTCCAGGGCCGTGTCTCCTGGGCCGGGGACGTGGCCAAGCAGGATGCCTCTATCACAATCGCCAACCCGACACCGGACGACAACGGGACGTTCAGCTGCGCTGTGAAGAACCCCCCAGACGTGCAGCACGACATTCCCCAGACAGTGCTGACGGTCGTACGGAGAGGTATGTACGGCGAGGGCTGCACTCCAGAGGTGTCTGCTTGCCCCCCAGGGCCAGCCTTGCCTTCTGGGGAGCTAATGTCCCCGGCGGCACTTCGGAAGACCTGGCTCCTTGACGATGACCGAGAGCTGGGCTGGGCTGTCGAGGTCGGGATGCTTTGATTGGCTTTCATGCGTGGAGTTGCCATAAATTGTAGGCGGCCTGATGGCACATCAGAACAGCAGCAGCCACTCGACGTGTGTGCTGAGCACCATCTCGCCACTGGATTTCTTCTTCCCTCATCCTGCCCGGAAACTGTGGGGCGGTGCCTCAGTTCTGCTTCCCTGCCCTGGTCTTGGAGGCATGGACACAGGGAAGGAGCCAGAGACGGGGTGGCTCCCTCATTGCCCAGGCGTGGGGCCCCAAGATGCGGCCATGTTGCTTGGGCTGGGGGCGGCGCACTGTGTTCGAGGCAACTGGAGGTCTCACCGCAGAACTTGTCACCACGGTTCTCCTGTCCACTGCCTGGGGACTGGTGGAGCCCTGGCCATCCTCATGGTGGGGCCACGGTGCTTGACCCTCCCAGGGCGGTTTCTACCTCAGCCCATTGCGAAGGGGGAAGGCATGTCCCAGGAGCCGGGCTGGCCGCCTCAGCATTTCCCCCTCCTTCCATAGGCGCCTCTTTGCAGCTGACATCCGCTGGGCTGCTCTCCATCCTGGTCTTCTTGCCATCCGCTGTTGTGGTGGCCCTGCTGCTGATTCGAATGGGCAGGAAGGTTGGGGTGCTGCCACGCTGGAAGGACGTCGGCTACAAGAAGTCCTCCATCGAAGTCTCCGACACGTGAGTGCCTCGCATATTTGCCTGGCGGGGTGGGGACTGGCCTTGCAGCTGCCCCCCAGGTGTGCCTCTTTGTGAGCGAAAGTGACCCCCTGACCACCAAGCCGCGCTCCGAGGCAAAGGGGCCGCTGGGTGGAGAGGCAAGGTCTCTCCGTGGGGCAGGTGTGCACAAGCCCGCTGGGCTCCGCTGGGTGTCCTGCCCAGTGCGCTGCTCTCTGGCAGATCCTGCCCCGGAGGGCCTGAGAGGACTGCAGCCCAGGGGGAGCCCCCTGGAGGGCCCCCGGGGGCAGGGGAGGGTTGGGCCCTGGCACTGAGGGACTGCTCGTGGGGCTAATGGGGAAGCGGGCTTGCCAGAAGCTCCTCCAGAAGGACTCAGCACAGAGCCAGCTGGTCGGGACGTGGCTGTCCTGGGCTGCCCATGGACCCCTGAGCAGCCTGCAAGTGCCGGTCTCTCTCTGCCCTTTCTGCAGGCCGGAGCGAGCGGGCTGCGGCAAGCGCCTGGCCGGCTGGTGCCTGCAACACCTGGTAAGCAGCAGCTCCCCTGCGAGGCGCGAGCCAGTGGCTTTGTAGGTGTGGCTTGTCTGGGACTCAAGTCTTCTTTCCTCGGCGCTGTCGCAGCGTGTCAGGGAACGAGCCACCCAGGATGCAGAGCTGGGCTGAGTCGAAGGATCTAGGCAGCTGCGCACGGAAGGGGACGCGGGGCGGGTGCTCGCGTGCCGCAGCGGCTCATCTGGCTGGCCGGGTGCAGCAGAAGGGCTCCGTTCCCACCGCAAGGCTTTGCAAGGCGCTCTGGGCGGGGCCTCCCCGCCGCCACCGCCGAGGGGAACTTCTTGGCCAAAGGGCTGCCCACCCAGTTGGCCGGACTGGATCTGCGCGGGTGATATGCTTGTGAGCGTGGGTGCCCACCTCCCGGATCTCTCCTTGCTCCCCACCCTGCCAGGATAGCGACGAAGAGGGTCCTTACTGACGGGCGGTGAAGGCCGTCCTGCGGACCATCATCGGAAGGCCCCCTTCCACCATCCGCCTCCGCACTGCATAATGGATGGACCTGCGGCCCCCGGCCTGGGGGTGTCAGAAGATGACAGATGCCACGGGACTGGTTTTCATTTCATCTTGGGAATAATTGAGGTGTTCAGCTTCTCCCACAATGGCCCTTCCCTAAACTTTTGGTGCAAGTGCTACCTCTGTGTTTCTGCCCGAGTTGCTGGGTCCCCAGGCGCTGCGGTGCACTCGGCAATGGGATGTCGGTCTGCTCAGGAAAGGAGGCCACCGTCTCTGACTGTCCTCATGGGCCCCTAGATCTTTGGAGCTGCTCTCCAGCTGCTGAGCACAATTTTTTTTTTTTTTTCGATTTATATCCTGCCTTTTTCCTACAAAGGGCTCAAGGCAGCTTACATCATTCTCCTCCTCCATCTTCTCCCCACAACAACAACCCTGTGAGGTAGGTTGGGCTGAGAGTCTGTGACTGGCCCAAAGTCACCCAGGTGGCTCCATGGCTGAGCGGGGACTAGAACCCAGGTCATCTGAGTCCCAGTCCCACGCTCTTAACCACTACACCACACTGGCTCTAAGGCAGCTGCCGCAGCCCAGAGCAGCCGGCTTGTGAGTGGCGTGGCTGGCTGCTTGTGCCCGGTGCAGTCGGCAGGTGAAAACGACGACCCCTGCCCGCAGGGATGGGGGGACGAACTGGGGCCGGTGTGCCATGAGGGGACGGGGCGGCTGCTGGCCCGAGGGTGGCTGCAGGGATTTCGTGGCTCGAGCTGCCACGGCACCCCCTCCCGGTGCTTTTGGGGTGGCAGAAGGGCTGCTGCCAGGCCTGGCCCTACACGTCCTCCTTTGCCGCGGTGCCAGAACTTTGGCTGCAGTGGCTGCCGGCAGAAATGGGGTGGCCAGCAGAAGGCAGGTGTGGCCAGAGGCCTCGCCCAGTAGGCCTGATCTTGCTCCACACCCGTTTGGTGTGACTTTGCTCTGCGCAGGAAGAAGTGTGGCTTTCTCTCAGGCGTGCCTAGAATTGCTGCTGGTTGGGTTGGACCTGGCTGGGTTGCTGCTGCTGCTGCATGCACCGCAGAGGCTGGATGGAACAAGCAGGCGCTGCTCCTCTCCCGGCTGAGTCCCGCTCCTTGCCCGCTGGCCCTCCCTGGCCTGCTGCTGTGGGTGTTGGTTCTCTCCATCTCTCCTATATACTTCTAGCCATGGGGGTCTTGCAGAGGGGCTGGAGGAGTTTCCTCTGCTGCCTCCAATAAACACCTTGAACCAGCTTGGTCTAGTCCTTTGAGTTGCTGCTTCCCAGTGGGGGCCGTGGGGGAACTGGACAAAGGCATATTCCAGCGCCCCCTTTGTGCCAGGCCTGGGGGGTTTTGCGCGGCTGGTGTGCGAGCCTTGCTCGTGCCTCATGGTTGCTGGGGTTCTCGGCCCCCACTGCTCAAGAGCGACGGATTGCTTTGCCGGGTCAGGCCGAGGTCAGCGCTGGGCCAGGGCTTTGCTCCTGCCAGCAGCTAGCCAGGGGTGTTTGCGTGTCCACCTGGCAGAGCCTGCAGGTGACATCTCTGTCCTGCTTGCCCGAGTTCCTGGCAGCCACAGACGCACTGCGCCTGGCTTTGGAGGCCCTGCTTGGCTGCCATGGCTGAAAGGGCTGGCTCATCTCCGGGCTCTTCCTGAAGCCAGTGGGGAGAGGAGGGCGGACTTGCCCCGGTGGTCTGCGTGGAACCTGCAAGCCCAGGCAGCCCCTCCCCGGGCTTCCTTTAGGCCTCTGACAATTCCTGTGCTGGGAGACCTGTGACCCATCCAGGTGGGGCCCGCCAAGCAGTGTGCCCAGGTGTGCTGCCACGCCTCCTCCAGCCTCCTGGCCACAGCCTGCTCTGGTGGGGCTGCACGCTGACGCCGGCCGAGGTGCTGCGGGGCCCTCGGCTACAGGCTGGCATCCCACTGGAACCGAGGCGCGCTCTGCTGCTTTCTTGGGAGAGGGGAGCGGGCTGCTGCAGCTGCTGGGCTGTGCACGGCGGCCCAGGATGCTCCGCACCCTACGGACGTCAGAGCTGTGCTGGGTCAGACCGAGGGCCCAGCAGCCCAGCACTCTGCTCACACGGTAGCAAGCCAGCAGCCGCAGGGCCCCTCCAGCAGGGCGATGCAGGACGGCTGCCTGCCCGAGCTCCTCGGCAACTGGCGCATGTGGTCACGCTGCCCGAGTCCAGCTCCCCACTGGTGCAGGACACCCACTTGCACCATGCCGCTCGGGTGACCATCCAGCTTCTTTCTGAAGGTCTCCATGTGGGAGAGCCCACGACTAATCCAGGCAACTGGTCCCACGGCCGTGCTGCTCTGCCAGGAGTCGCTCCAGCCTTCTCAGCAGGCTGGTGGGCCCGGCGCCGAGGAGGTGGCTGGTCGCTGCCCTGCCCGCGCAGGCCTTCTGCGCCTCGCCTCCGCCTGTCCACTCGCCTGGTGCTGGTGCAGCGCAGAGGCCGGGGACTGGCGGGTGCTGCTGCCTGAAGCAGGACCATGGACAGCGGTCTGCAGGGCGCGCCTCGCCCACTCGCCTTCCCGGTCCAGGCTGCCGGGAAGCAGGGGCCCCCCGGGGGTCCGTCCTGGCAGGCGCCCACCCTTGGGCGGCGGGCCACCCGTGGAGGTCTTGGCAGCGGGCGCCTGCTCTCCTCCGCACAGATGGTTGACAGCTGCAGCTGCAGCCCTCTGGGCAGGCTGGGAGCTCGGGAAGAGGAGACCCCGGCACATTCTGCTGCAATCTCTTGTTTCACGTCGCCACCCTGCTGGGTTTCCCGCAAAGATGCCAGTGCACAACAGCGTCCGGAGGAGGAAGGCGCTGGCCGGGCTGCTTCCTCCCGTGCAGGAGGGGGAGCACAGCCCCCCTTGAGCCCCAGTGTTGCTTCTGTGGCCCTGCTGCCCTGTGGCACAGCTGGGTCACTGGCGTGCGCCAGCTAGCAAACTGCTGCTCTGTTGCTTCCACAACCCCCCTCGGTCTGACCCTCGCAGCTGTGGCCCCGTGGAGCAGGTCATGCTGAGGAGCAGGGACTGGCACCAGAGATGGTGCCCCCGCCGGCCCAGCCCGGCCAGTCTGGGGCTCAGGCCACTGTGCCGTGCTTGCTGGGTTCCCTTTGCAGTCCTGTGCCAGCAGCACGTCCAGCCCAGGCTCACAAGGAACCAGAGAGAGCTGGCCGCTGGCCACTGGCCACTGGCCGGCCACTGGCCGGCTGTGGAGTTGCCAGGCTTCTGACCCCTCCCGTCGCCTTTGCCTGGGCCCTGCTCTTGCCCAGTCTGAGGATGGGAGGCAGCTGGAGAGGCCCTCAGTTGTCCTGGGCAAGTGACGCCACTGTCCAGGGAGGGTTTGGCGGGGATGAGTCCCTGGGAGGGCCGGCAGACCCTGGCGATCTACCTGTGCTGGAGGCGGCCTAAGCAAAGCGGAAAAAGGAACGACGCTGTCCAGAGAGCCGCCCCGTGCCCGTGCCCGTGCCCGTGCCCGTGCCCCAGCCCGGCTCAGTGCACCTTTCCAAGGAGCCCCCCTTTGGCCGGGCAGGGGAATGATTCGGGGCGATGTGGCCGCGGCGCCGCGCTTCCCCTGGCGCGGCGGGCAGCCCTCGAGCCGGCGGCCGGGCGGGCGGGGTGGGGCGCGGCCGCGGCGGGGGATCTGCGCAAAGCGGCAGCCGGAGCAGCCCTGCTTCCCGCCCTCCCGCTTCCTTTCCGGAGATTCACCAACCAGAGAATCGCTGTGCCCCCCGTTTTGGGGGAGCGGCAGCGCACCTCCGGCCGGCCATCTTGGCGCCTTGGAAAGAACGCCCGGCCGCTGCGATGGGGGCCTCGGCCGGGGCGCTGCCGCGCGTGTGAGCCCGCCAGCCCTCCCGCCGGCACGGCCGCGACGATGCGCCCGGAAGACCCCCCGCTCCCGTGGGCGCCGCTGCTCCCGGCGCTGCTGCTCCTGGCGCTGGGTGAGTCCGCCTGCGGCAGCGGCCCGG